TATTCAGATTTTGAAAAAATTTTTTTAAATGAATTATAATATTTCATTATTAATGTTGAAATATTGATGCAAAAATTAGTATTTAATGGAATTAATAAAGAAACATTAAATAAAACAAATAAAATATTTTTTTTATAAAGTAAAATTAAGAAGTTTTTGCTTGAAGTTTCCGATAAGTATTTTTATTTTTAATAAGGTCATTTAAGTAACTTGGCACTATTGTTATATAAAAACTCTGAAAAATGGTAGCTACAGTGAACTCTGCAATTAAAATTAATGGGTGATGATTGGGAGTTATACTATTTTAGATAACTTGGTTGGGCTTTTATACTAGTACAATTTGTCTACTGTACTACTAATTAACTTAATTTAGGACTTTACTACTATGATGGGGGCTGGAATGCCAACATCATGAAGTAAGTTTATCTTACTTACCTCCAGTGGTAGAAGCTTTTTTCTTTTCTATTATTACTTTTAGAGAGCATTCACATTCTCACAACTGCCTGCAGGCAGCGAAGGATGACATAGAGATGTGGGACATTGTGGGCTTGAACACTCACATCTTGCTCTCCTAACTTATATATTTTTTCTTCTTCTTTACTACTATGACGGGGGCTGGAATGCCAACATCATGAGGTAAGTTTACCTTACTTACCTCCAGTGGTAGAAGCTTTTTTCTTTTCTATTATTACTTTTAGAGAGACTTCACATTCTCACAACTGCCTGCAGGCAGTGAAGGATGACATAGAGATGTGGGACATTGTGGGCTTGAACACTCACATCTTGCTCTTCTAACTTATATATTTTTTCTTCTTTAACATGCAAGACTGGTGAATTGAGGTTAAGACTTATAAATGGTGTATCCCAACTGTAATGTAGGTCCTGCTTCAACAGTCACCTCCAAAATCCAGGGCACATTTTACATCCCCCCATTATAGCCTGTACCATGGGGATCCTTTTAATTTATGCAGTGTATTCAATTTCATTTTTTGTTTAGGCCTGTTCTGTTTATTATTATATAATATGATAATGACTCCAACAAAATGTTTTAGGTCTTAACAGCTTAGTTTTGTTTACACAAGACATATATATCGACATTAACTATGCGTAAAATGTTAAAACCCTATGTTGAGGTCTTCTGTAACAAGAAGAAATTAGAAGTAAAATGGAAGAAATAAATCTAAAATAAGTAAACTGATTATCTGATGATCAAATTCCTCAGATAGTCTTGCTCATATGCATCAACAGTCCAAACTTTCATCAAAACAAAGCTTAAATCATCCATTGTTTAAGTTACAAAGGTTCGTATAATGACAGAACTGTCCACTGGTATATTTTAGAAAGTGTCTCAGACATTTCAAAGCACATTTCTTCACAAGTGAAGAACCACTTTTTTATTTGGTGTATGTTCAGAAATACATTACACAATTATACTTTCACCCAATACACACATTGTTGATGACAAAGATATTGACAAAGAATAAAAAATAACTTAGAAAAGCAGGAAAAAGTTAAATTTCTGCTGCTAATTTTAGTCTTCATTATTAATTTTTTACTTTACAAATTCCTCCCTTCTCATACTAAAACAAAGTCAACAAATACAGCAGCATATTATCCATAGCTCATTACCATCTTTGCTACGAGTGTTTGAAATACAGAAGTGTAACAAGTAAATAAACTGCAACTACCACAGACATCACCTTAAGTATAATTCTTATAACACTGTGTTTTAATTAGGTGGTTCATATAATATAAAACTAATTTTTTTGTTTGTAACAAGGTTTGCTTTCTTGGTTGAACATATTATTATGGTTGCTTTTAAAGAACCCATACACTCCTATATTTTTAAAAGGCACATTAATTATTGTTGTTAATGACAGTTAAATAACATTAACTTTTGTAGGAAAATTGTCTGAAAAATTTCTGAATCCTCACTTCATTAATCTAGTGGATCTGAAGGACGACACACAAACATTAAAGTCTTGATCAGTTTTTAGATGTTTAAAAGTATATTTATAAGTAAGTTTTCAGTATACCTAAACAAGTCCTATTTTTAAATAATTTAAAACAGTCTAGGACATAGCTGGAAAACCTTTTGAGAATGTGCAAAATTATTTTACATACAATCTCTATGCCTTCAGATATATATAAATAAATAAATATATATATATATATATTGGTCAGGCAAAAAACAAACTTAGGACAGCAGTGAATGCCACGTGCCAAAAACATTTTCTCATGTGCCACCTTGGGCATGCATGCCATAGGTTCGCCAGCCCTGGTCTAGGAAATCTAAGTTGTTGAAACTGCATAACTCTTAATGGCTCATTTTTTTACAGTTATAAGAAATGATAGCATAGTATATTTTGTTAGTCTACAGCTACTACAAACTCTGATCACAATTTGTAAATAAAATAATTGAAATAAACTCATCACCAGTTACTTGAAATACATGTATAAAAAATTACATTATTTATAAGTTTGTATAGTATAACTTCTTTTAGACAAATAAATAAAATAGATTATTAGTCTCACTAGGTACATTATTTATAATAAACAAATTCTATATCCATAACTTTTAGATATATAAATGATAAAAATCAAATACCTTGAAAATTTAACACAGTTAAAAAATCCAATAACTTAATAAGAAAATTTGAAAGTAATTTAAATGCTTAAATATTTGGAGAATTTAGCTTTTGTCCTGGTTTCTCAAAGCTGACTGTTAAATTCTACAATGGTATGCTGTAGCACAATTTAACAAACACACATGCACGTAAAACCAGGATGATTAAATATAAAAAATGAGCATTGGGAAATTAAAATTCAGTTATGAACAAAAGGACACAAGAATAATTTACATAGTAGAAACTTATTCAAACAAATAACTGCTCTATCTGGATAACGAACTATTTAAATTTAATTATAAAAATATCTTGTATACAATAAACATCTGTAATCTAAAAATAATAAAAGGCTTACTTTACACATGATACAACATGAAGCATAACTTACAAAAATTATGTATATTGTTCAGATGTGACCTCAACAATTGAAATAATTTTCTACAAACTGCAGAGCAAACAGAAAAATAGTGTTTAAGAAAAATAATATATGCATAAAAACATGCAGATATTACACATACACTCTCATAGGTACATATATTAAAGCAGTGGTTCCCAACCTTTGCTCCACCAAGGACCCCTTTTATTATCATTTTTTTCCCTCGCGGAACCCATGTTTTTGAAAAATTCCACCTAGCCAACAAACTGTTTTTATTAACTAATAATTAACTC